TATTTTTTCAAAAACTCATTTAGCAAATTAGATTTTGTAAGATACAATTGTATTAATGAATATAAAAGGAGAATTATTAGAAACATATTGCAAAACACACTAGAGTTTATTTATAATACAACAAATTCTATTGTTTATGTTAGACCTGCTATTGAAAAGGTTTGTAAATTAAATAACTTATATTGTTTTAATAAATTGTATATTAATTTTTTTTTAGATCCTTGAAGAAAAACCAGATATATTTTCTAATCAAGTAGTATTTTAAATTGCAAATGATATATATGATATTTTTTATACTTCTTGCAAAAGAATTGCTTCAGTTTTTGAACCAATTAAGCAAGTAATTAATTTACTTGAAAGTAATATTGCATGCTTGGCAAATTGTTTTTTAAAAATTGTTCAAATTGTTGCTATATTTAAAAAGGTGGCTGCTATACGTATCTCTCAAATTGCTATTCATACTCTCCTATAAATTTAATTTTTTTAAAATTTGAGCAAAGATATCTTAATAATCTTCAAGTCAAATTTAATGAACTTTTTTTTTATTTTAATTCTATAGATTCCTAAAATTCAAAAAAAAAGTTTAATAAATTTGACTTTGTAATTGTCAAAATATCTTTGTACAAAGTTTTAAAAAATTTAAAATGTCTATCAAATAGAAGCTGCATCTAAATTTTTTTCAAGATTTGAGCAAAGATATCTTGACAACCACAAAGCCAAATTTATTGAACTTTTTTTTTAAATTCTATAGATTCATAGAATTCAAATAAAAAAAAAGTTTAATAAATTTGGCTTTGTGGTTGTCAAGATATCTTTGCTCAAATTCTAAAAAAAATTTAGATACAGCTTCTATTTTGATAGATATTTTGCATTTTTTAAAATTTTGTACAAAGTTATCTTGACAACTACAAAGCCAAATTTATTAAACTTTTTTTTATTTGAATTCAATAGATTTATAGAATCAAAAAAAAAAAGTTCAATAAATTTGGCTTTGTGGTTGTCAAGATATCTTCGCTTAAATTTTAAAAAAAATTTGGATGCAGCTTTTATTTTGATAGATATTTTAAATTTTTTAAAACTTTGTGCAAAGATATCTTGACAATTACAAAGTCAAATTTATTAAACTTTTTTTTTTGAATTTTATGAATCTATAGAATTAAGATAAAAAAAAATTCATTAAATTTGGCTTGAAGATTATTGAGATATCTTCTCTTAAATTTTTAAAAAATTTAATTTATAGAGGTATGAATAGCAAATTTGGAGGTATGTATAGCAGCCACCTTTAAAAAAAATACTCACTAGCAATAATTTTTGTATTTTGGCTATTTTAGTATTTAATTTTCACTATCAGCAATTTGATATTTATTTGTATTTTCTAGCCTATTTTCTCTATCCTAAATATTAAAGCCATGATTTTAAAAATAAAAATTTTTATAATATTCATAATTTGGCAGTTAACTATTATAAAATTGACAGGGCATGGAATTGATTTTCTGTTCATGTGATTTTCTGACATAATATAAAAAACTTTATTTACATTAGATTTTGGGTCAGAGTTTAGGTTATGGTTTGGGTTTGAGAGCTATTATATAGTAAAATTGTACATGAAAAATTTTTTATTAGGACCAAAAAGGTGATTTACTAGTCTATATTTCATGATAAACATAAATTTTGCAAAGTGAATATTTGTTTTGATTTTCTTTACATTACATCTGATCTCAGTTTTTAATTGGCTAACTGTTATCAGAAAATCACATGAACAGAAAATTGATCTTATGACCTGGCATTGTTAAATATTATAAAGATTTATTTTATAAAGAAGAAGAGTGCAATGAATTAGTAAATTAATTAATTAGATATAAAGCAGAAGTTAAATCTTGAAATCTTAAATATTCTTCTAACTTAACTCCTTCTTTATGGTGAGGTGTTGTTAAGAATGAATATTCATATTTACAAGAACTAGCTCAGACCATGTTCTCTATTGTACTATCTCAGGCCAATTTTGAATGAAACTTTTCTATTCTAAAATGGTTTAGTGAAGAACAATGTACATAGCTTCAAGTGTCATGATTAGAAAGTATAGTGCAAATTCACTCTTTTTATGTATCAAATATTAAAAAAGAGTTAAAATTTTATAAAGATAATTTTGTAAAAACTGAGTTACATAATAGTGTATTAAGTGAAATTATTGTTTCAGAAATTGATTATCCTAATTCAAGTGAGACAAGGAAAAAAATGAAGAGGAAGAGGAAACAGAAATTATGAGCCCAGCTGAAAGTAATATGGTTCTTCAAAGTTTAGTTAATATATCAGACCAAATATTCAAAGTGAATAATCCTCCTCCTTTAATTGATGAAGAAATGAATACAGTAGATCTTTAGTTTAGATTAGACAAATACTGAATTTATATTAGCTATGATATTTTTATAGGAAATTATTATTTTATTATTTTGTTTTATTTTATTTTATCATTTATATTTTATATCCTCATATTCTACTTGATAAATTATATATATTATCACTGTTTTCTATTTACCTGGGTATTAATATTGACCAATTCTGATACTAAAAAAAAAATTTTTTGTAAGTTTTATGAGTCCTGTGAGTTCAAGATTGCAATATAGATAATCATCTTGATTTTACAGAATTCTAAATACTTCTTTTTAATATCGTTCTAGTTTGATTCAATTCTCATATGACCAAATAATTATTCACATATTTGCTTTAGTCTTCAGCTCTGGAACTTACAAATTTATGCTAATTATTTCCATGCAGTGGAAAATATGAATGCTATTCTACATTTTGAATGTCATGATGGCAGATCATATAAGTTGTATATAGTAGTGATTTCTTCTTTTGATCTATAAATTTCACAATATTGATAACGAGATCGGTATGGTATGTTTTTAAAATACTATATAAACATGAAATGACACTAATAAAAAAAGCTTAGGAGACAAAGCTGCGAATAATAAAAATGTTAAAAAAGTGCACATGAAATGTATTCTGCAAAGTATAATAAATTTAGATGATTACCTATATTGTAATCGGGATTCAAAAAAAAATTTTGTACATATCACGAATTGATCATTTTCTAGGTAATGAACGATTTTACAGAACTGCAGAATCGATCATTAAATATAGTTTAATTGGGAAGATCTAATTACTGGGTTTATCATGAGTTCAGATTTTATATGATATATAACATTCTTGATTAGACGGGCATACACATGATACCGATTAAAGGTTGAGTTGGATATATTCACCTCGTATCACTTAGAAAGTTTTAATTTCAATAGTGAGAAGACAATATTAAGTTTATGTATATAATAGCAATCCGGATAACTCTATGCTGTACAGATACTGATATTGAGTATATTTATTTATTTAATATGGATAGTATATTATCTATATTTGGGATTAGCCCAAATCTAATACGTATTTATATGTAAAAATTTGGGACTACTGGCCGTAATATAAGTTATATGTCAAAATATTTGGCATTACGGCAAATTAGAGATATTTTTCAAAACATAGTAAATACTATTTGGAATTCTACCTAATCCCAAACTAATGGGTTTGGGTAGAATCATTATCTGTTACATATTGTCCATAAAAAATAGTCAATTGTTGCTAACAAAAATATCAATTATAAATGTAAAGTAAATGTAAAGAAATTATAAGTTAAAAAAATTTAACAGACTATTAGTCACCGCTTGAATAAACAATAAATTAATCAACTAGTCAATTAACGAATCCTATTTTTTGGTTATATACATATCAGGATATTCTCACAACGAACGTCGCAATGATAAATATTACATCAATGCATGAATACTAGATCGTTTAGTATATCACGTGAAAACTGCAATTTTGTAAATAAATTTCGCGTAGTTTACCACTCATAAATCATAATCCAAATTCGAAACTCCATAAAAGTTGATAATATACATAATTTTAGAAGCGCTGCTAATTCCAATTGTCTTCTTGTGTAAATTGCTTGATGAATATTTCCTGAGTAACATTTAACAAACGAATTACTTTATATGCAACCCTCCATTCTTCGGAAATTTTTTTTTACTGACAATTTTATTGAATCCACGTTAGAAGTATATGGATCTTTTAATTTATTTGGATCTATCCTGGGTGCTTGGTACTCTTGAAACAGAGGTCTCGATTTATCCATGAAAATTTTACCTTCATCCTTGTAACTGATCTGCAAAATACCTCGTTATTGCTAATCTCACTTCAACATTGATTCATCCTTCAAACCATGCTGAATAAAGGAACGCATGTATCTCTACTATAATCTCCTCACAGATGTAATTTTTTAATTAAAAATTTTTCAGTATAAAAATATATGAAAAAATATAAATACTACACAACAATCAATAAGATTTCAAGAAAGGTATAGCGTAAACAGAAATTTATCTACTGCTAAGAGTTTAATGATATAAACAAAATTTAATGTTCCAATTCTTCGCGCGATATTGCAAGAGGCTTTTGTTCGATGATTAATTTTCTCGTAAATGAACTTGTTCAAATCAGGAGATAATTAATTCATATCTAATCTAATTTATGCTATCTTCGTTGTATTGCCTATTTTGCAAATATCAAAAGTTGATTGAAATTTTAGACAATGAGACGAATCATCAAAACTTAAGAGACATTCAACAGCAAATTGATCAAAGTATTAAATATCCATTGGATGTATTAGAAGTCAAGGAAGATTGGAGTTCAATTTACGCGTCATTATATATGCGGCCCTTTGTCCGAATGGTTAACAACAAATTTTAGCTTTAGAAAAATAATATTAAATATACAGTAGCATGATATAAATATTATTACACGTGTAAAAGGATTAAATACTAGGGTTAGCATTTGATTAGTTGCGGCATATTTAGATAATTGATAAACGTTATATTTTATATTTTATAATAGTTATTAACATCGGCGACTAAATAAGAAAAATTTACAGTAAAACAATTAATAATATCAGTTTATATTCGATTTGTTTTCAAACTTGATAACAAAGGCACGACTAATTCATCAAGATGATCTTTAAGTTTCAACTTCCTTTCATCAAATTTTTCACTTAATTCCTTAAGATATGTTTGTTTTCTGCCTTTTGCATACTCCAGAGCCTCATTTACTATTTTTGGATCATAACAATCCCAGAAATAACCAAACAACATCTCAAGTTGATGTAATGTACCATCTTTTGCAATATATTTATGCAGAATTAATTGATCAAATTCGTTATTTGTGACTTTAATTTCGTAATGATAAAATATAGCTGCAATATCCTTTAAATCATTTATTTTCCAATTTTGGAGTATATTTTCCACTAGGTAGTTGCAAAAAACTTTTTCAGATATAGGACGACCTCCTTTTTCTCCAAGCCATAAAAGCAAATGCTTGTTAAGTGGCTTTTCATGAAGAACCCATAAAAAGGGTGACATATCATATTCATTGAGAGTATTGATATTTATCATCATTTTGTTGGGGATAATTAAATCTGTTCCATTAAATGAGTCGATACCTATTTCATCAAGTGTGACAGAAATTTTTTCATTGGTCAAGTTCGTACCAGTTTTATTTAATGTGTTTGTTACCACATCACTAGGAGAAACGATATTTAATTTGTTAGTAATCTGACTCGCATCATTGTAGTTATTGATCATAATACTTGTGAGATCTTTTATTCCCAATTCTTCAAGGGTTATAATAGTTGATGTGAAGAAATTAAATCGTTCCTTGATCGGAATACCAAGATGAATATAAATAGCACAAAGGTAATGGAGAGGGTTATATTCTTGGCCATCGGAGAATTTATAGTCTACAATTAATTAATGAATTTATATTTGTTAAAAAGAAAACAAATTGTAATTATTTAAGAAATCTTAAGTCTTACCTTTCATAATACGCAAAGCAATTAAAACGACTACTTGTTTGAATATCATTATATTTTTTTCTTTGTTTTTTTCACTACTGAAAAAACCGGTATTTCTGCAAAGGAAAAAAAATAGACGTTTCTTGTTTTTTGGGGAAATCTTAACCACAGTCAATAAATAATTCAACATTTTAATGAGGTATCTGGGAGGGCATACAAGGATGGCTGCCTCGAGCATATTTCTACAAACAAATAACCAAATAATAACTAAGCATAATTTTATTAATTTTATGATTAAAAAATACGTACCCTATGTTGTCTTTAGTAACATCAGTAATAGTTTTGTCCTGTTTCTTTAAGTCAATTTGAATATTTTCATCTTTTGGGAATGAGTCTACTGATACCCTTAATGCTTCAATATTCCCATTTTTTATAAATTCAATTATCCCTTCCATATCCCGTTCTTTATACTGAGATTCCTTCGCATGATTCTCTTCAAAATCAACCAAAGTGTTTATTTTGGTACCAGAATGAATAGATACATATTTCTCAGGCCATTCTATTTCTTCCAGTTCTTCAAGTACTATCATAATCGTTTTAATTGGTGGACGAACTTTTGGATTACTATCCCAACATGCCGTATAGAGTTGCTTATAACGTTCCGGAGTGTTAGGAGTTGGATCCTCACGTGCACCAAAATCCGGAATTACTAATAGATTAAAGAAAAAAATCTGTATAAGTTAAGCAAATTTTAAATGACATTCTTTTAAAATCAGAAACTTACCAGACGGCGGACGATCGCTAAATAATTCCCAAAATAGAACGCCAAGGCTAAATATGTCAGATTTTTCATCACGAGGATTCTTATGACCATATGGATCAAAGTATGAGGCTTTTCCTTGCTTATTCTGACTATCTGTCTTTTCATTAAATCTCCTTGCTAACCCGAAATCAGCGATCTTAATTCGATTGCAACGAACGAGAACGTTATCAGAACTCTATTAATTATATAGCCGATTAAATAATTTTATTTCATTAATTAGGATTATTAATTTTATCAATTTTATGCTTGCTTACTAAATCCCTATGGATTATGCCTTCTTCATGCAAGCACATGATACCACTCGTCATTTCCCAAGCAAATCTTAACTTATCTTTACAAGTCATTTTTTCAGAATTTATGCTTAAATAGTTTTTAAGCGAACGACCATCTGCAAATTCTAAAACCAAAACGTAATTATCTTCATCTGAAAAGAAACTATAATTATTAATCTGTTTGCGGAAACTGTAGTAAATATTAAAGTATAATAATGCAACCTTTACGTGAGACGCAAAAAAATTTTAATATATGTGGATGGAAATTCAAACTTAAATGGGTCATCAACTAAGAAATTAATTCTTTAATATAATAAAATATCATGAAATGAGCTTTAGGAGTCAATAAAAACATGACAAATTAGTTTTAAAATTTTTTTCAAAGAAATATATCCCATTACAATGAATATTTTTCGATTACTTAATGGACTATTTAGTGTAATAAGATATATCATTTGAATAAAACTTTAAAAATAATTTTTTGTGCTTTCTATTGGTTCCCCATTCGTTCATCCGAACAAAATATACCTCTTTTTTAAAGTCTCCATACTTATCTCTATTCTTGCCTTGAGTATCATCACTATAAGGCTTTATACTTTTAAGCGCCACGGGTAATTTGATACCACCTGTTACCCAGTCGGCGTAACTGATTTCACCATACCCACCTTGGGCAATTGCTTTTACATTGGTAAACTTTAAATAATTAATACATTTAACATAACCGTCGTCTATCGCTTTTTGTAGCAAATACTTGTTATCGGAATTTGCTTGGGGTTCAGAAGTGCTCGACATAATAAATGTGACAGATTAAAATGAAATTTTGTATAAAGTAAAATAGACAATCCACGAAATTTTGGAGTTGGCTTTTTTTAGGGCTGGGGTCAGCTTTAGGGGTAGAATTTAAAGTAAACAATTTAAGTGGGTTTTGGGAGGTTAAATAGAAATCCCAAATTTAGTTTAATACGATTTCATTATGATCCGCGACAATAAATGATCACAAATAAAGCAAATTATTTATCTAATGTGACGGAGACTAAATGTTATACTGCGAAATTAAGCGGGAAATTGGTCACCAAATCCAAGAATTTGGACCCCAAAAAATTAAATTTTAGCTACCAGATTATATATTAATCAATTAATGCTAAAAAAGTTTGTACCCTGATCTGTACCGATAACGTGTCTAACCCATCTTCCCACTCCCGACACATCTCATTAGACGTAGGAATTTATTAAATGACGCATCGTAACTTGGGAATGTTGATTATCTCAGTTCAAAATCTATACTTACATATTAGTAGTCAAAATTTTCAAATTTTGGGGTATTTCGCAAATGCCATTAAACTTTGTTTCTTGCTTCGTATGTACGAATGTACGTTGGCGTACGTACATACGTATAATGCATCAATGCATGCGCCTTTAATGTCTTCGTGTAACAGTAGAGTTATAGTATTACAGTATTAAGGGATGATGTTTCAAGAATTCTGCCAGGAGTTTGATAATTGCGACACCAAATACAATCTGCAGAATTTCCGATGTGTAAGGGAAAGAAAAATATGAAATGTTAGAATGATTTATGGAATGTATCTGTAAAAAAGCAAGCGACTCTTAGTTATTGAAATTTAGTTAACTTTAACTCTAAACTTTTGTATCACCGGACTATTGCCATTCATTGGTGGAAGTATACGTACATAGTTATTGAGAAAAATGGTCAATGGACTGATTTAACCGTTTATATAAAGCTACGTACGTACTAATTTAACCGCTAACTCTATATATTATGTCCAGAAACACCATTGATATTAACAAGTCCCTTCCTGCTATTCCTTCGGTAAACCTTGAAATACAGGAGGAGCATGATGAAGTACAGAAAGAATATGATGATTCTGATCAAGATGACAATTCGATGCAAGGAATGCCTTCAATGCATTTTTCACAAAATCCAAAAGCGAATGATGATGCACAACGTATTTCAGAAAAGATTTCTCACCATGTCATGGATATAAGCAGTAGGTATTTTTAGAAACTAGTACATGGTTACAAAGTTTTAAATCTTAAATATTTCGCATAATATGTAGGTAAAATGTTTGCGCATGACACAGATATTACAAAAGATGGCGAAGTTATTACAAAAACCATTGAAAGAGATGTTAATGCTACTATAACCAATGGAAATTTTATAACCATTGGTAACGACCAGCGTGCAAAAATTGGTGGCATCTTAAGTTGTTGTTTTTGTTGGTGTACTTTTGTATGTTTAAATATTCTATTTCTAATACTTCCTACGTCCTTGAATGACTTTGTATTCCATAAAGCCGTTTTTAGTTGATTATTAGGTTAACGTCGATATTTAGGCTCAGGCATGATGGAGTTGGGGAAATTTAAACAAACACATAGTCCCAAGAATATTTGTTCAAATCTCATTGGTCAACATTAATCACATGATTAATAAGGTTTATGCTGCGTTGTGATTAGCTTGTTTAATTTTCAGGGGCAGTTAAGCGAGGGGATGACGTTAACCTAATAATCAACTAAAACGACCTAAGATTGATCTACAAGGAATCGCTAAACACTGACAATATTTCATTGCATCATTTCTTAATCATTTGATGCGACCCATTTCGCGGAACACTGTTATTTTAATGCTTAACCATACTAATCAAGAATTTCGTGATTTATCGTTATCAATTTATATGTTTGTTTTAGGTAACTATGGTGTATTTGATTAGTCTTGTTGCACAAGTGGCATTTTTGTACATACAGCTTAATCAGCTATCTCATGGAGATTTTGATTTAACTTCTATTCCCATGTTCGGTCCAATTGTCGGTATGCTTTGCGCTACCGTTTTTGTTTCACTTATAGTCGCGTGAGTATGTTTATTTTGCTCTACTTATGCATTTGAAATTTCTCACTTTATTCTTTTAATAGGTGTTGCGTTTCAAACGTTTGGGAAGGATAATACTGTAAATTGCTGAACAAGATCCGAATTTTTGTTTTCACCAATTTTAAAACCTATAATAATAAACCTGGGATCTGTCGTATATATGGGCCTGATAATAAGGAAAATTATCAAATCAAAGAAAGAAAAAAGTGCATTCATATTATGAAACAATCAATTATCAAGAACTAGAAGTGCGATCCGTTAACTAGTAGTTAATGTAATTCTAATATTATAAAGTCAAACCATTAGATTAGTGAATATAGCTTCAGGTTAAGTTGTAGGTCGATGATATGTATTATTGTTTTCATTAATTATATAAGCTAAAAGTCATGTTGCGTTTCTAATAAAAATTGTGATAACTAAAAATTAATTCAATGTAATAAATAAAGAATAAAGAATAACTTCGCTACGTAATAATTTCATATTCGCCACATTGAAATTATAGTTGATTTTATTGGTTAGTTATTACAGACAATCATGGGTAGATCTACAAAATTAGCCAATTACATGAATGAGTTAACTAATAATTTTAAGTTTTAAAATTAATACAAAATTTTATTAGTTCATATTACATGCCTCAAGGATCTTAAAGAAATGGATCTTAAAGAAATTATTAAGTTAACAACAAATTTACAATGCATAGATTTTGAATTAAATAATAGGTTCAACCCTAGCATAAAAATTACAACAATATGGCAATAAACCTTATAACAATGAATTAAACCCTTAGAATTGTTTACATAATTAAAAAATGAGATCATAACAATGCTAAAAATTATAATTAATTACATGAGCTTGAGGTACTTTTCTCACAGTTTGCAATTAAAATTCTTATAAAATTATCATATAGTTCATTTGATTTCTTTTTTTTTGAAATTTGATTCATGTAAGAATCGAAATGAGATGCATATTTTGCTTAATATAGGAAGCCAAATATCTACCAGAATTTCTCGATTTTCAAATCCTTTAACTAAATCAATTATATAATTATAGGCTTGCTTGTATTGATTTTTTTGAGTAAAGCTTTTTGATGACATAGATTTTTCAAGAGTTTGTTTTATGTTCTTTCTCTGAGCCTTTTTATCTAAATCTTAAAGTGTTAAAAAACAAAATATGTTTGGTCAAATAATGTGCTAACAAAAACCCATTTAGTACAGTGTTTTATTTCATCCAAATAACACTTTATATTTTTAAGGTATTTTATCCACTTTTCACTATCAGTTGTATTCTGTTTGACAAAATTATTAAAAGTAACTTGCGAATTTAATTTGTTAATATAATAGTTAAGCTATGAATCTATGTAAAAAACTTTCTCCTTCATCTCCACTGTTTCCTCTTCTTCATCTTCAATTTTTTTGAAATCCATGCTAATGTTTATGTACAGAAATCTTTATATATTAAAGAAAAAATTGAATTAGGTTGCAATTATAATGTTGTTAATAGTGAAACATATTTATAACTGCAAGTAGGTGAAATCTAGCATTGTTGATCATTACTAATTGGGATATCAGTTATCATTATCATTATTATTAAATAATATCATTACTTTGCACATGACCAACATAATTTGGCCTGGCACTAAAAATTTGAAACTAATTTTTAAGAAATTTATACTAGATTATTAATAAATACAAAATTTTAATATTAGTTTAATAAATTAAAAAAGCCTATTTTATAAAAATATCAATACAGATATTCGAACTATTCACTACTATAAATTTTATTCACAAGAAAACCAATCCAAGTTGGATAAATTAAAAATTTAATATGGCACTAACCCATCATAATCTGGATGTCCGAACCTATGACATCCTGATTTATTTCACCAAAAAAGTCTTTTATTTGATCTATTATATACCAAAATTTATATTAATCAACACCAAAAGTTCCATGCACAATTGGCTCATAAGGACAAAAATATGAATGCTTCGACTTATTTATCTTATAAAAATTCAGTAAAAAATTAGTCAAACTTCTATGCACCTGCTAGAGAAAGCCAAAAATTTACATACAACTAGATTATTAAAATTATTGTAATCTCAACAAATAATATAACAATAAGAATCTATTAGAAAGTATACAATTTCATGAGAGTTTTTCTTGCAGCATATTCAGTATATAATGACATAAAAAATATTAAAGAAACTAATTTCTTATGAGCAATCATTTTCAATATTTTTTAATGACAAAAATTCTAAAAAAATTACATTATATCCTTTACTGAGTTTCTTTCATAATACAATTATTAAACAATGAATAAATTATATAGCAAACACTCCCAACTTTGAATTTTAAATAAAATGAATTTGCTGAAAAGTATAAATGATTTAAACTCTATTGTTTATATTGGTACTAAACTATTATAATCTGAATGACCAAATCTACGGCTTCCAACCATTATTTCAGCAATTAAATCTTTTATAATTATAATTTGTTTTATCCATATAACCAAGGTTCAGATTAGTTAACTTCAAAAGTTCTATGCACAATTGGCTTGTAAGGTTCAATGTACAAATATGAATGTTGAGATTTTTTGACACTATTAAATTACCTAAAATCAATATAAGTTTGTAATATCAAAAAGAGAAAATAAAGTCTGCTTACCCATAAATAATAAAAAGTATTAAAACCTCTATAAGAAGAATTACTGCAAGGCTTACTGTCAAATTCCATCCATTATAAACTTTGTTTTTTCTGTCTGAGATAATTTCTTTCAATTTTTGATAGATCAAATAAGGAAGAGCTTCTGCATGTTTTAATCTAATATCCTCTTTTTGTATTAAATTCATTTTAATAATCTTGGTTCTCAAAATTTTAAATAATAGAAATTCTGAGAAAAACATAGCTACTTTTATACAATTTCCTTTAATTCTCATAAAATTAATGTATATATATAATATTTTTTAAAGTGAGTAACAGAAGATCAGTTTCAATATACTGTATTAAAAATTTATATATTGTTAGATCTATAGATAATAGTACAGACTTCTGAGTTTGATTTTGCTGTTTTGTAAAACAGGTAATACAAATTATGCAATACTGTGAGAAGAATTGAATATTAAACTTTAGTTATATACAGTAATTCACAGAGCATCATTTTGACATTTTGTAGAAATAGGAATAACTGAGACAAAAATAGTATATTTTCTAACAATTTTTTTTTCTTATTTAATTTTTTAAATACATATAAAAAAAAAAATTTAAAATAAACTTTATTATATACAGTTTGATAAATAATTGTGGCGAAGAGTATAAATTAAAACAAAATTGAATTAATCATTTTCTTATTTGCTTATTCTTATGCTTAAACTTTCTTGGAATATTATTGCATAGTATTTATATTTTTTTTACATATTTGTATGCTGAAAAAATTTTAATTAAAAAATACGCATATTAATTGCATAACAGATTAGCACTATATATATGAAAAATATTATTAATTATACTTAGAGTTTCATTTTAATGCTTTGCAAAGTAGATAATATGAATAACTGTGGCAAAGATAGCATAAATTAAAACAAAATTGTTTTAATTATAAAGAATATTAATATATAAGAATATTGCATCAAATAGCCAGTTTTTGTTTATATATTTTTCACATATTGATATAATAATTTATCAAGATATTTAACTTGAAGATAGGCCAATTTTAAAACAATTGTGTTTTAGAATTCAATATAATCTTAAGAAATTTTGCTTCCCACTTTGCAATTCACTGACATTATTAGCCCAATGCTAATTATTAGGGTTAAAAGTACACCAACAAGAAATTAGCAGCCTTTGCAATGAAAACTATCATCTTAGTCAGGATCTCAAAATTGTGAGAAGGCTTGACAAGAATATGATTGCTAATCAAAATGTACAAATAAAAAATTTAGAGGATCTACTAGAAATATATAGTGCAGTACTAAGTGAAAGAGGTAAAATATTCTTTTACCAATTTGATGATATTTTAGCAACTAATTCTACCCATGGGAAAGATATATAATAATATCAATGTTACTATTAACAAATTATTTAACAAAAATTTTTTAGATATTATTTATAAATCTGATAATAATAGTGAAGTTAATAAATATAAATGCATTTTAGAGAAGCATTTTCTGGATTTGTTTCTTAGAAAAATCTCTAAAAGTAAATTAGCTAATTGCATTATAAAAATAGTTTGCAGATAAAACATAAAAGCAGCTTCTATTTACAATAATTATCAAAAAGAAATTTAGTATTTTATTCTTAAATATAGTAATACAAATTGTTTTCTTCAAATTTTATATCATATTTATTCTATAAATATAAGTTAATCTATAGTATTATAAAAATATTCTAAAAATAAAATAAACTAACCTTATTTTTTTCTATTTTGAACTTATAATTAACAAAAATTTTTCTTCACCATTGCATTTTTAATATTTTTTCTTATAATTTCGATATATTCTTCAAATAAATTTTGAAAACTGTTACTTGCATCTTTTTGTAGAATAAAATGGTAAATTGACATATTATTTTTTACTATTATCATTATGATAACTTTATAAATATATAAAAAAGGCTAGTAGATAGTTTTTTTTACACAACCACCTTATATTCTACTTATTAACTAAATATTAAATAATCTAATTTTTTTATAATTTCTGATAATTGTAATGTAAATTAATATTTTGTTAATTGAAATGTTAATTAAAATTTAATTTTAACAATGATAATAGATAATACAATTTATTCAATTGTTTTTATGATTATTTATTAGAAAAATAATGTTCAAATTATAAATAAAAGTATAATTATAT